ATGTGATTCCTACCACCTGACTGACAAATAGCCATCACAATAAGTGGCCAGAATCAGTTTTGGCTGCCTTGCACTTCTTGAAATCCTTCTGAATTTCAGGTAATTGCCTTGGCCCCTTATCTACCGTAGGATTATGGAAATAAACTGGCACTGTGGAAGCTTCAAACTGCTTCTGGCATTCCTGGGCTGAAAGCTCTGAAGCTCAGAAAATTTCTCTAACTCTTGACATTTTCTCACTCTGTGTAGTATTACATTTCTGTTCTTTATCTCTGTCAATTATTTTCATGCGAAGACAGCGTTTGATGTAATCTGTTCCCAGAGTGGAATGTCCAGAGTATTGCTAAAAAATACTTTTGCTCATTGGTCACAGGGTGCATGAATTATTATGGTTGAATGGTCCTCATCTGAGTGGAAAGGATGCAATGTCTAGGAAAAAATATCTGTGAGATGAGATGTACTATTAACTTCAGATCGTTCTGGAAATGGTTGTACAAAACTGCCCACTTTGAGTCAACAGTTATAAAAGCCAATTAGTTAACAGTTATCTAACTTAATTGCTGTAGTCAACTCATAAAGCACATGTCTACACCGTGTTTTTTGCTGCGTGCCACAACATGAGCCACTGAACTGGGTTGTTACTTGCCAGCTTACATCTCTAATGCTGCTGATCTACATCTGTACTAGTATCAAGGGAACCATTCACATCCTAATGTCTCAAGCCATTCCATGTCTTGGTGTCCACACAGGGCTCACAGGGCTCTCATGTCTGTGCTCACCAGCCACCTGCCTCATGCACCTTATACCTCACCGGGTTAGGTAACACCAATGCTTCTGACTCTTGTCCTTTCTAGTCCTACAGAACAGCCTGGGCTTGGGTTGGAATTCCCTGTGGTGTCCTCAGAGGCAGAAAATATTTTGTCTCTTTAAAGCCAGGAATGGGACCTTCTGTGTTCCATAGGCATCTCCTTTCTTGCTGAGAATGAACAGGACAGTAAAGATTAGGGTCAAATCCTGAAGTGGCTGCTCTCTGGCATGCATTGTTTGGTGGTTCTTATGAGGATTGAGGGCATCTCAGGGCATCTTGGAAAATTTTGGGATTGTTTCAGAGGGAGAGAGAGAATTGCACTTGGCAATTCATGTTTCTACACTGTCAAGGAATGCTCAACTACAAAAATTTCCTCTCAGCAGTTCCAAGTAAGTCTGAGGTGGATCTAGCTTCACTGTCTCTGACTATATCTGGTGAGCAAAAGAAGAGGGAGGAAGAAAGAGAAAAAAAAAATTGCCAGATTGACAAGGTAGAAGTACTTGTGGACTGGTATTCAAGGAACAGATTCCCTGCCTTTTATGTTTCACTTCAACATTTGCACTTCAGAAGTGTCTGTCTGTAATATTTATTACATATTGGTACCTGGAAAATAAATTTCAAAGAAAAAATTCTCTAAATTTCCAAGTGTCTAAGCCTAGCTTCTGTACTATTAACTCTATTATCTTAGAAATTTTTTATATTAATTGAATTATTTCAAATCTTAATCTTTCTGCTGTGTTTTGCAAGAGGCAAATTTCAGAATTTGTAGAATTATTCAAGAAAATACTTTAATTCAAAATAACTTTATTTCTTTTAGATGCTTTGGCTTTTGATGTTATTTTTTCTTGTCAAGGTTTCTATTGTTTGTTGGACACACCCCTTTTTGGACTTTTTCCAAAATCAAAGGAGTCAATTAATTGGTTTCATATTCCAGTGAATTTTTAAATATTTGTCTTTAAATCAGCAATTGTTGTAAAGTATAGTTATTTTATTTTATTTGTTTGGGTTTTGTTTATATTCTTATTATAATGCAGAAATGGGCAAAAAAAATATGGCCTACATGAGAGAAACATAGAGACAGTAAGAAACATTTCTGGTACATGGAACTTATAAGAGACATGAACCTCAAAAATTTACTTCTAAAAAATAAACCCAGATATCCTATGGTTAAACATTTATTTGAAGTGAATCTTTAAAAATACCAAAGGTCTGTCTTCACAAGTGAACATGCTTAGCATGACTAAAAAATTTATAAAGTAAGAAAGATAAGGTTTGTCTGAGACTTGAGTTGATTAAACAGTGCAGAAATGCACTTTTTTGGGGGGAAGACATGATGTTTTTACTAGTCTGTCATGTATTAACACCCAAGTACATTTTTATGTTGAAGGATAATATGGCACTGTGATTTTTTTGTTCAATGTGATCATTAAAACAGCATTTTTGGTAACTGACAGGGAAGAAAAGCAGATGACTAAAGGAAACTATATAGTCTTAATTTTTATTGCCTGAATCTCTTTCTGTATTTGATATTGGTAAATATATTACATTGGTACATTTTGCAGTTAAATAAACAGTCAAATAAAGCCCTTGAGGGCTTATTTAAATAGAAATATGTGATGTGGATTTAGTAGAGTAGAAATCCAAGGTCTGTGTAATTTAGAACCTTGTGTAATTTTCCCATCGGTAAATCACACGTGGTCTCCCTCACAGCAGTGACCTTAGTTAGATTTTGATATGGCAGCAACTGTAGGCATAAATCGTAATAAACTCCATGCTACATCAGTTCTAGGAAATAAAATTTCACAGTCTACACTAACTTCATAATAAACTCATTTTTCCAGTATTCATTACATTGACAAGTCATCAATTGAGTCTATATGCCATATGATGCAATACATTACTATTAATATGAGAAAGTAAATTGCAATATGAATTACAAACTAGAAGGCTGGGTTTTTTCACATTTTTGAGAATTCTTTTTGTGGGTGCTTCTTTTTGTTATACTCTTTATTCATACATATTGAAGGGATTAGGAATTCTGGCTGTCATCTGGACACCTTAATGGGTACTCAGAAGTTGTACAGTCAGATTCTTCATTTCCTAATTGATTTTTGTATTATTAACTAGAAACAAACTGCAGGATAACTGTTTTCTTAGCCAGCAACCCTCTGCACTTAAAAAGTATGACAGCTCCCTCTTCACCAGGTGAATAGAGGAGCAAGTTTCAACAACTGATAGGCAGCAAAGGCACGAACATGGGAAGTCTTCAGGAAAGGATACATTGAAGTAGCATTGCCAGCAATAAAATGTCCACATAGATATATGCAAATCATACTGCCCAGTGCCAAGCCTTGATCCAAAAATTACTGTACAAAAGTCAACCTACCAAACCACATTGTTCCACAAGTTAGAGCAAAATTAAGCAAGGAGAAAAACAGCTTTTCTACTCCAGGATGTGACATAGCAGACAGTGCTTCTCATTATTTCATCCGTAGTTCTCTTCTTAAAAGCACACTAAGGTTTTGCATCACCTTGGTAACTGTAGATCTTGGAGCCAATATTTTAAATACCATCAAGATAATGGCAGTATGCCTTCTTGCTATGAAACTCCCAGCAAGTTGACCTGGTCCAGGATTCCATTCCAGAAGATGATTTCACAACATTGCATTAAATTAAGATTTCTACTCACAAGTTTTTTTCAACAGATTTCAATGTTAGGTATTTGTTGGAGTGTAGTACCTATTTTGATATTTTCCCTGAAAATTTAGAGCTGTCATATTACTCAAAGGATGGAAAATGCAGTAGTCAGACATAACCAGTTAGTATCAAAAGAAATACAAAACTGTGCATTATTTCCTCATTTTGAGTATTTTGTATATAATACTCAGAGGTTTTCCTTTTGGTTTTCTGGTTTTTTTTTTGTTTTTTTGGTTTGTTTTTTGTTTTTGTTTTTGTTTTTGTTTTTGTTTTTGTTTTTGTTTTTGTTTTTGTTTTTTGTGTGTGTGTGGGGTTTTTTTTTGTTGTGGTTGTTCTTGTTTTTATTTTGCAATTAACAAGGCTGTTTAAGTCAAAGGAATAATCATGCTTGTTCTTACTGGCAGTAGAGTGTGAGGTAGCTGCTTTTTCTCTGTATGAATTTTCTGCTCTGTAGAAATTGAGACATTCCTAGTTATTAAAATGAAAACTGGTAAAAAATAGCTATTTTTCAGAGTTTTTTCTGGCATTGTCTTTTCTCTTGAATGCAACCTTTGACAGAACTAAATAGTGGCAAGTTTGAGGCCACTATTTAAAAGTGTCTTGCTAAAATTAGCCTTTTTTGGAGGGTGTGAATGAGAACAGTGTTAAAGTTCCTATTCAGCAGAAGGAGTCATAACAAATGTACTAGAGTATTGTTGGGAGGAAGTACACCAAAGTCTCTTTCAAGCTGAATTTAAAAAACAAAACACAAACTCCAAAAAAAAAACACCAAAAAACCCCAAAAAAACAAACACCAAAAAACCCACATAAGTAGCGTTTAAGAATAGAAAATGCGTTTTTGTTATTGTTGATGGATGATACATTGTGTAAGACAGCTGCAAATCTTCATTTCTCTGAACAATCCCCATCCTCCTTCCCCCTAAACTATTCTTTACCTTTTAATGGAGGATTTTGTTTCTTGATTAGGCATCTAATTCTGCAATACACTGAACTCACCCAAACACCAGGGCATTTAATTGGGAGGATTAAAGTCATTAGTGAATCACAGAATCATAGAATATATTGAGTTGAAAGGGACCCAAAAGGATCATCAAATCCAATTCCTGACCCTTCACAGGACATCCCAAAAATCTTCCCAGGGAGTGTGCAACATCTTATAAAATTGAAACCTGAATAAAAGGCATTTCTTGTTTTGCCTTTGAACAGGCTTACAATTAGTACATCTATTCAATGAATGAGAATTTCTGGGTTGGCACCTTCAGTATTGCAATACATACAGTCTTTGTCACCTCTTTACTATCAAGTTTAACATAAATACCAGCAAGTGCTCAATACCTGAACCTCATTCTTCAGTCTTTGCATTACTTGAGTTGGAACAACAGTGAACTTCCCATTGTATCCTTATTATGTAGGGGTGAAGGGGTCAGCAAAACTCTTATGCTCCTGTTGTCACTGCAATGCTCTCTCCTTTTTGAAAAGGAGAGGAAAAACAACTAACCTGCAGCAAATCCATCCATGACACAGGTCACATAAACCCACTTTAGGTGCAGAACTTCAGGAGCTGATTTGGAAAATTCCGCAGGTACCCAATGCAGGCTGGAGGGAACCATTCAGTGCATCTACACTACGCTGCTGCTCTGACTGCTGCTCTGAAAGAGACATGAGAGGAAAACTAGCTAAGTTAGAAGCCTGTAGTTCTACAGCGTGAATGTTATGTGTGGTGTAAGGGGAGTGACATCAATCCATCTCTCTGACACTGCTCAATCACAGTCCTGTATTCATGATAACAAGCTGGGCAAGACAGCATCAAATTCAGTGGGAAGCTGCTCATGCAAGCTGAAGTGACAATGATAGTCTGAGCCACTTTTGGATGACCTTCACCACTTTGATTTTTCTGAGAGGAGCTGGCTCCCACATTGCACTGCCAGATCCACCCCCACTCCCATATGTGATCAGTCCCTGTGGACAAGAAGACTGACACAGCTTCTAGAGGCTAACTATTAATGTGCAGTAACACTTCTGGCTTCCATACTGGGCATGGGAAAGTCCACACTACATCGACTGATGTGTTGGAAATGTGCCTAGCAATACAGAAAGCCTGAATTTTTTGTGAGTTTTTTTATTATTATTATTCTATTCCATTTTTCAGCATTCTTGATTTTCTGGCAATTTCTATTTACTCTGATGGCTTATTTTTCCCACAAAACTGGAGAGTTTATAAAAAGTGGAATAGTCACGATCTGTACCTTGTCTGACTTTTAAAGGCAGTAAATTTTACTTACTAGCATCTCAAGGCAGTGAATATGGCAATGGGATTAAGAGCAGGGGATGGAGTGAAGAGAAAGTTTCTGGAAAATTTTGGCTGCTGCAAAAAGAAGGTGAGGGTCTCACCGAAACAACATGCTGCAAAGTCAGCACAACATCTACTAGAGACGAGGGAATCTGACAAAAGAGCATGTGGGAGAAATCAAGGTCCCTTTTCTTGAACCCAGTTACTTTAGTAAACCAAGCATTTTCTTTCTTTCTACTGCAGCTAGTTTCCCTTTTACTTGTGTGGTGCCAGAGTTAAAACTTAATGGTTTTGCTATGAAATCCTGTTTCTTTTTCACTTTCCTCTACTTCGGCTTTCTGTAATTTTTTCTTACTAAATGCCTGAAGTTCTCTCACATTGAAGTTTCAGTATTAGCAGTTTGACTCTTCTTTGATTGTTTTAGCATGGACTCACAATTTCTCCTTTTAAGCAATCTTGGCTAAATTATCCCCTTGTCTTAAGATTCTTCTATTTGACTAAAAGACTTAATTACCTTCCATTTTTCATACTTCCATGAGCCAGTTGTTTAAAACATATGAAAAATTTTCTACAAATTTGAAATTGCATGAAAAAAAATAAATCAACTTTCTGAAGGTGTAGTTCAGACACAATAAAAGCCAACACAATCCTGGTTTGAATGCTGTATAGAAATACAGGAAGTATTAGTGTCCTGTAGCCAGCGCAGAGGGCCTGGCGATCTCCTGCATGAAAGAGTTTGCAATTTTTTCATCCATATTCAAGAATAGATGTAAGAAAAGGCAATTAGCTTGATCAGGGATATGAAGAATCTACTGCACAAGGGAAAACTGAAAGATTTTTGCTTATTGAACCTGGCAAAATAAAATCAGAGAGAGAATAAGGTAACTTTCTGAAAACATATCTGAGAAGAAAAGGGTGAGGAAAGGTTATTCCAACTAGAGGATACTACTGAGACTCTAAAAAAGGATAAAAATATAAATTGTGTGTGGATTTACCTGAGGATGAAATAGGAATGTCTCCTAACATCAGAGCAGTGAGGCTCTGAAACACCCTTCTAGAGAGATAACTTGGAACTTTTGTACTTCAGTGACCAAAAAACTGCTTATATGATTCTGGTTATGATGAGTCATTCTGTTTCAGCGTGTAGCCCGAAGCATCTATCTTGAGCACAGATTCTTGCTTTTGTGAAATTTGCATAATTCAGGATTTCTTAGGAAAAGACTAAGTCATAAGTTACAGAGAGAGAGCTGCACCTTTTCTGACCTTTATATTTACAGACATTTACTCCGTGAACCAAAATAGCTGCAAGACTACAGACTGCACCATAGCTGTCGCCATTAGCTTTAGCACTAGAAATCTGCTATTTTTAAGCAAACTGAATACCACAAGACTTGGGGCTGGAAGGTCTTCAATATCAGGATTAATAGGTCATGCTCTATACTACTTCTGGCAGTGAGCAGTGATGAAAAAATTACTCTGCAAAGAACTGGTTTTAGACCAGTACAGTCTGTGTCCTACAGGCACTTGCAGGGTGTTAATTTCAATGTCTTATAAAGCATTTAGAGCCTGCCTGTTAATCCTCATAGTTACAGTGTTGTTGTAACAAGTTGAGTTCAGCTCTGTGTTGGATATCTTGCTTCTTTGGGTCATACTAACACAACTAACACACTTTTTTTCCTGCACTCTTTTTAATTGGGAAATAAATCAAACCCATGAGTGCTCATTCTTATAAAAAGCATACATCAAAAATAAAAAAACAAGTTGTCTCTCAATCATTGTACTTAGGCCTAAGCTTTCCTGGGCAACGTAACAAACATAGACAGTGTTGTCCAAAACTACTTTAGTAATTAAAATACATCTACCCTTTCAGAAAGACAAAGGACTGGAAGGGATCTTCTGGATATCATGAAGCTATTGTGAACTACTCCCCTATATGATCTTCTTTATAAATCAGACAGATCCATTTTGAGACCAGTTATTTTATTTCCCCTCTCCACATATACCACTACTACAAAAATTTAGATATTGACTCATTTATCTCAGCCAAATATATTCATGGGTTTCTTGTGCCAACATCTTCTTTTGCCAACATCTTTTGCCAACCTAAACAATTCCTCTCTCTTCACAACACTTAGCCTTTTAAATATATGCTGCAACCATATCTCCTACCAGTCTTATATTTGCTGTGATAAAAACCTTCTTTTCTGGAGGTTTGCACTGCAGATTTCAGTATAATATATATACATCTCAAAGCAGGATTTGATGAGGGCAATTGTCTTGCAACAGCTGGCAGTTCTTTGACAAGATTTTTCTTTGCAGTTTCCATGTATTTAGTAAGGTTACTATATGGGATCTCGTGCACCAGCATTTTAACAAATGAAAAGATTAGCCAAAGAATAAGAAATTAAAATACAAACCTAGATATACACAAACGTATTACACAAATTCTCATTCACATTTAAAGTCATGATTCACTGATTTCTACACAGCAGATTGTTTACTCCTCCTGCTTAAGTGGGTACAGATAGGATTCGGGTACATATGTGGGTGGCTAGAGGGGATAAAGTATAATTATTGATGATATGAGAAAAATAAAGTCTTCTATCACTTGTTTCTCAGTTAAGCGCAGCACATTTCAGGTATCAGAAGAAGAAAATAATTATATTGCATGACTCACACTTTTTATTCAAGAAAACTAATAGCAGTGTACAGAAAGGTGGTGGATACATATCCATCATATGAATAATACCCTAGATTTAATACCCTAGAATCCTCTGATGGCTTCAAAGAATTTTCTAGGATACATTTTCAATGATGATATAATCTCTTCCTGATGAATAGTAACTGCAGGAGTGGAACAATACAACAGTTTTGTGGGTGCCAGTGGCAGTTGTAGGAAGTTAGCTATGTGATATTTTTCTTTGAAGAAAAAACTTGAAGAGCAAATGTTCTAAATCATGAAGAAAAATTCTGTGCAATACCTAGAATTTTGCATTCTTCCTTACCACTTAAAAATTTAGCTTCCTCTCATCAAAAAGCTGCAAACATGTCATTTTAATCAGCTTCAGAGTACATATATGCATAATGTATACTTAAAGTATACACATCGTAACATGATGAGCAAAGACATATGCAATGTACTTAGTCATAGAATCTGTAACATCTCTGTAGTCAATTACAAGCCCCAGTTGTAAACATTATTTTCCTTGGGGAATATTTTGGTAATTAATGAATGCTGTTGTTATACAGTGATGGAGCAGAGTGTACTGACATTATGGTTTCCCCAGTGGTATAACTAGGACTGAATGATTCAGAGAACTTCCTTCCCACCATGCTAGGCAGAGCTGAACTTAAAAATGTGTCAGTATATATTTATATTCCTTCTTTTGCAAGAGCAGAAGGGCTGTTTAAGTCTTTCACATCTGGCTGCTCTCTCCCACCCTTTTCCTGTGGGAAGTTCTTCTCTTACATCTTCGGCCACAGAGAAGGGGAAGAATAGCTGTTTGAGGGACTGCACAGCAACCCAAAGGTCAGTGAAATCTTCCTGGGAAAGCTGATTAAAAGTATTACTTTATTCTCAAAGTGATTTCTAAAAATTTTGGTCAGTCTTCTGAGCGGCAGAGACACGCTGAACCACAGAAAGTGATTTAGGAGAGCTGGAGGTTGTGACAAGAAGGAGCTAAAGGATACAGTGTAAAACTGCTGAACTGAATCTAAAATGTATGGTGAACATCAAAGTAATAGACTGTCAATTAATTAAAGACCAGTGCCATTGATGTAGAATTGTCTTTGGCACTAAAATTAACTATCTGACTGAAACGTGTTGAGCAGCTCATGTTTCTCATCATGTGTCTACAGTATATAACTGGCATGGAGTGTTAAAGTGCCTCCAGACTTACTAAGAACAAAGTTCACAAGTCAGAAAATATATAATAGCAGAGACACAAAGCTTTATATAAATAGTTATCAGAATCCCGAATCAAAAACATGTTCAAAGATATCCTTAGCATCCTTTGCACAGAAACATACAAACCTTTATACAGAACAGTTTGTTCTCAACTGTGAACTTTTTTTCAGGAATCCCAGAAGCTCAATGAGACAGCTTTTGTATCTGGTTATTCAAGCTTTCTTTATAAATCTCAGGCAAAGTACTTTCTTCCCTCTAATTGGAAAGTTTGGACTCTTCAAGACAGCTCAGTGTCTGAGGTCATTAACTCATATGGTCTATGGGTTCTGTTGGTGCTAGAAAAGAAGAAAAGTTTATGGTTCAGAAGCTATTCTGAGCATGCAGAACTGATGACAGTAACAGTACCCAACAGCACCACTTTTACAGGACCATATTTAAGCCTTAGCATTTAAATTCTGCTGCAACACATTGTAGCTCTCTTTCTGCTGCTCCCCTTACCAGACAAGCCTGCAATGGCAGATGCTAATTTTGTGCAGAACTCCACTGAGTAATGCATGTGATGCATAAATGCATAAGTAGCGCATACAATTTCTGAATTTAACTAGCAGCTTCACATAGATCAGATTGAAAAACTTGCAGCTATTTCATGTCTTAGAAAAAGTAAAAAACCAAAATCAGTACCCCAAGTTAAATTAAGGATTACCTCCTCTCAGACAAATTAAGGCGTCAATTCCATGCACAGGTCATGTGGAAAAGTAGAAGAGATGAAAAGAAGCCAACCCTCACAATCCCATAAGGTACATTTCTTTCTCTAAATGGGCCAAAACTCACGCTGCCGGTTCAGCTTCAGCAGGTCACCTAACACTGTCTTACTGAGGCCACTCATGTGATTCATTATGGCTAATCAAACCCTAAGTACTTAAGTAAATTCTGATCCCAGAAGAGACTGTGTTGAGCCTGCGAACACAGACTGCTAAGCAGTGGTTAATACATCAGCAACCTGCTGAAAACTGAAACAAAAAGTATGTTTTCTTTGCTGACGAGTCTGGGCAAGTTTCTTGGCATGTTCTCCTTTTAAAAGTTTCATTGACATGGCCTCAGTTGCTCAATGCCTGAGACTTGCCATAGGTTGCTGGAGGTAGTTATTAGTTACCTCAGTGCTGTCCACTGGAAAACAGGAGATGATTGCAACTCTCCTGCCACTCCCCCTTACACTCCCCTTGGTACACCCCCTTGAAGTCTCAAATGGAAAGCCTGCTTTAGGCAGCTGAGGATCAAGTCCTGCTAGAACTTTTTTTTCCTACCGGGAAAAAGCAATAATTCATTTTTGACTCTACACGGACAAGTTCTCTAAAGAAAATCAATCCCCAGCTGTTAAAAATTGTCATCCAGTGTTCGTGTAAATATTCTATTAAATCTTCATACTTCTTTTTTCCCTACAAATGGGTAATTAATTACTTACAGAGATACACTATTTTAACATTAATTATTTAAATGGCCTTTCATTATTGTTCAGTCTAATAAAATACAGTGTTTTTTATTTATTAACACAGATTAAAAATACTATTTGGCTTTTTTTTCCTTTGCAAACATTTTTTTCCCCTCTGTGTATTTTAAAAGTTTAAAGGACAATCTATCCTGCATAATAAAAGTTCTTAGTTATCTAATGGTTAAATGTAGTCAAGGCAGCCAAAACATGAACGTTCTGCGTTGCTACATAATTCTGTCATGGCCATATCAGCATGAACCTGTTTGCAAGGAAGAATGCCTTCATTTTTACAGCATTTACATTCCTCAAAGGACCACTGTCTATGAATAACTTTGCGATGAGCTAGGTGATGTAGAGGGAGGAGGCTAGAGCTTACTCCCCCCAGGTCACCAGCCAGCACAGCTCACAAGAACATGTTTAAACTTCAAGAGATTGAGTTTACTAGATGTTCATTAAGTATATTAGTACTAACTCTTCGACATTTCCTCCTGTCAATAGGACACACAGGACAATAAATACTCAGAACAGAAACAATTACGTACAAAAGCACAGTGAAAACAGGAAGGTGAAAGAAACACATTAACAGAGGATAATACTACAATTTTTAAAATGAGAACACAATCTTAGGTTTCAATTGCTTCACTCAGGTAGATGAAGAGTGAGGGAAAGAAAAAGGATGAGTAGTTTTTAAATTTTGTTTTGTACACATGATAAAAATTTCCTTGCATTTATCAGCTAAAGAATGTGGTGGAGAATGACCATTTCATATTCAGGTAATAGAAACACATACAGTACAGCAAGAATATGCTGGGTGACTGGAAATTTCACAAAAATAATTTTGTATCATACATTTGGTGAGACTAATTTATTCTGTTCTGTTTAATTATTTTCACATCTGACTTCTCACACGTAATGTAATATATAGAGCATTTAGTGAAACATTTGTGTTTACAAATCCAATTCCTCGAAAATTACCCTTCAGTAATATTCAGAAGATTTTACGTATCACATATATAATTTCCTGATAAGGATCGGAATATTTAGGCAGAACTGCACACATGGAAAGGGCAAAGACAAATAACTTTCTGATTGCTAACATTTTGGTTCAATCAGCTGCCCCTTAGTCACATGATTTCTCCCAATAACTGATGTGTATTCTGAAAAAAGTCTTCACTGTATTGCTTACCTTACTGATGTAGCTATTTCTTAGTAGGCTGATGACACTGTGTCTGAAATGTTCAGAAAATGAAAGACAGAAAATTCTAATGAGAATTTAAATGTAAAAGGAGTCCAGCCACAAAGGAATAAAACATGACTGTTTAACAGAATGGTCCATGATTATTTTTCTGCAAACAGAGAATAATTTAATTTATAGCCATAAATTCACTTATGAAGTGCTAAGTCACTAAAAAGTCACTCCCTCAAATATGTTTCTCCTCTTCTTATCTTGTCAGATTGGCCCTCTATATGATCTTCTGCAAGAAGAAAGAAACTTATGGAATGAGAACTCAGAGTTAAAGATGTCTGACTTCTTTCAGATTTACAGTTCTGGAAGAGTTTCCCCTGTAGAAGGAGAAAGGCAAAACCTAGCCAGGTTAAAGATGAAATTTAAGCTACTTTTGAAATGCAGTTCCTGAAAGTAGGGATGCATGTGTGTGGGTATATGCATATATAATGTACATATTTACATATATATGTACACACACCCACCCCATATCCAGTGACTGAATATCATAAAAGAGAGACAAGCAGATCCACAGCCAAAATTTGTGAAGTTGTCTCCAAGGATTTTATGTATTCATAGAATCACACGGAGTACTCTGAGTTGGAAGGGACCCACTAGGATCATCACAGTCCAGTTCTGCACAAGATGGCCCCAAGAGTCACACCATGTGCCTGAGAGCATTGTCTAAATGCATCTCGAGCTCAGACAGCTTGGTGCTGCGACCACCCTGAAGAGCCTGTTCACCCTCTGGGTAAAATTTTTTTCCAAATATCTAAACTAAACCTCCCTTGACACAACTTCAGGCCATTCCATCAGGTCCTGTTGGGTCACCAGAGAGAGTAGGTCAGTACCTGCCCCTCGACTATCGCTCATAAGGATGTTGAAGATTGCTATGACATCTCTTCTCAGTCTCCTCCAGAAAACAGACCAAGTGACCTCAGCCTCTCCCCATATGCCTTTCCCTCTTGACCCTTCACCATCTTTATAGGCCTCCTTTGAACACTATCTAATAGCTTTATATTCTTCTTATATTCTGGTGCCCAAATTGCACACAATATTCTATGTGAGGCTGCAGCAGCACAGAGTGGGATAATCACCGCCCTGAACCAGCTGGGTGATTCAGATTATAGTGCTGAAAGGAAAGGACCTATGTAAGTGGAATGTATGCAGAGAGAAAAAGATGATGACTGTAAGATTTATTCTGGCTATTCTCAACGTTAATCTTAGCAGTAGCTATTCTTAGCTCAGCGCTATTCTTAGCCTTAAAATGAGTTTTTAAAGATATCTAGCTGAGAGAAATTATTTGAATTATTTAGGCTGAAGAAGAGGGAGGCACTAACACTGTCCAATCTGTGTATAGATAGAGCTGCCAAGTTCCAGGTATCTCAAACAAATATAACAAGGCTTGTAGGAACAGGCAGTGCTTGACCACACTAGAATGAAAATAAGCTGCATTGTACTTGTACCCATTCTGTGACACTTTCTGCTGCTCTCAGACAAATGTTGCCTATGATGTCTCCCCAAACAAGCACAGAAAGTGTTATCTGCTAGGACAGACAAGGCGGCGCTTCTACCTTCGTTCTCACCACTGCCTGGAGCTTCCTCACCAAATGCCACAGCACGCTTCTGAAAGGTGCCTCGGAAAATAGGTCCAGCAAGCGGCAAAGGGCGTTTGGGAGGCGGCCGGCCCTGGAGCAGCCTCTCCTGCTGCCTCCAGCACAAAGCCAGGGCAGGCACCCACCGACCCATCCGCAAGCTCACCCCTATGAAGCTGCGGGAAAAATTGTTTCTGAGGGGGTATAATTTACGAACCCCCGCCAGAGCTATTCGCGTGCGGAACATGAAACCACTCGGGGCACAGCCAGGTTTGAGAAGCCCGTGGTTGCTGGGAATGAGAAGTGGGAGAACGCCACGGGTGGGACTCCGGTGCGGCTCCCGCGGAGGTGCAGTGGGTCTGAGAGGGCGGGGTAGCGGGGCTGTCTGCACAGCCTCCGAGACCGCCGTGCCGGGGCCAGCCGGCCGGCCTCCCTCCCTTCCTTGGGGTACACGGCGGGGAACGCGGTCCGACCCTTTAGGGAATTCTGCCATCCCCGCTGCGCCCCCGTGCCGCTCAGCAGAGCGGATTGCCCTCACTGAAGGGAGGAGAAGGAAAGGCAGGCAGGGGGTCGGCAGGGTGGGGTTTGCCCGCACGTGTGGGAAGGCCGGGCACGGGGGCTCCCTGAGGGGAGGAGCGCCCCGGCTTTGGCTGCCGGGAGAGCCCCGCCGCTGCCAGCGCCGCTCCGCGCAGCCCGCCGCCGCCGCAGGGAGCCGTGCCCGGGCCGCGTAAGTGGCTCCCCTCTCCGCCTTCCCTTCCTCGGGACCGGGTGGGCGAGGAGTCGGAGGAAACGCCGCTGCCGGGGCCTCTCGGCGGCTTGGACGTGGTGGGGAGGGATCCTCAGTCCCAAGTCCAGCCAGGCTTGTGCGGCTGGGAGGGGGGGCGCTGATCCCCGCCTCGCTCCCAGGAGTTATTCCTGGCTGGAATAATTTGATAACTTGAGCTGGGCGGCTTGCGCGGGGAGAGAAGCACAGGAGTTCCCTTTTAAAGCCCGCGATCGAAGAACGGCGCTGGCATTGCCCTGCCGGCCCTGTTGGCCGTGGCTGCAGCGCGGGCTGCGGGTGGCACGAGTGGGTGCGGGCACAGCGGGAGAGGCTCCGGAGGGCTCCTGGGCGGCACTTTGTGTGGGACCTTGTTTGCTGGGCCTGGGGTGGCATTTGCTGCTGCTGTAAAGGTTTGGAGGCGTCGATGGGTGAAACCCTCCTTGGGTTTCTGGCAAGCTCGCTCAAGGCGCTGGCTTTACCCGGAGGTGCGGTCCGTGCAGGTGTTACCCGTGCCGGTGTCACTGACCCAGAGCGCACAGTCGCAGTGCAACCCCAGCTCTTCAGTGCGTTTTGGGAAGTTGGGAAAGTCACACTTCAGTGGAGAGCCTGAAGTAGGTGCAGATCCCTAACTGTGGTAAAACAAGTTTAGGAAATGTTCCTTTCTGCCAGCTTTGCATGTTTAAATCTAGACATGTGTTTGAAGTATCTATTAGAAGTATCTATTAGCCTAATGCTACTGACAGCTGGAGAAAATGAGTCTAGTAAAATAAGTTTAAAATTTAAAGTATCAGAAGCTGCAGAACATAATCCTTTAACTTTAAAATATTTGGTATCAGTTGAGATTTGTGTTACCGTTTGGATGGTAGAGCATTATCAATCTGATGCAGGGTCTGGGTGAACTCCATTAATTTGGCTGAATTATATTAGTTTTGG